CTGCCCCTGCGCAGGGGAGGGGCCGGGCGGCGCCGGGACGGGCCTCCCCCGCCTCCTGGCGGAGCTGCGCATGCGCGGCCGCCTGGCTTCCGCCTGCCCGGCAGGCCACGCGGCTTCCGCGGGAGACGGAAGTGGGGCTGGGGGGGACGACCGAGATTTGGGCTGGGTTTGGGCTGAGTTTGGTTTGGTTTGAGCTGAGCTGAGCTGAGTTCGGCTGAGTTTGAGTTGAGCTGAGTTTGAGTTTGAGTTGAGTTTGAGCTGAGTTTGAGCTGGGTTTGGGTTGAGTTTGGTTTGAGTTGAGCTGAGCTGAGCTTGAGTTGAGTTTGAGCTGAGCTGAGTTCGGCTGAGTTTGAGTTGAGCTGAGTTGGGTTTGAAATTAGTTGAGTTTGAGCTGAGCTTGAGTTGAGTTTGCGTTGAGTTTGAGTTGAGCTGAGCTGAGTTTGAGTTGAGTTTGAGATGAGTTGGGTTTGAGTTGAGTTGAGGTGAGTTGAGTTTGAGTTGAGCTGAGTTTGAGCTGAGTTTGAGTTTGAGCTGAGTTTGAGTTGAGTTAGAGCTGAGCTGAGTTGAGTTTGAGCTGGGTTGAGTTTGAGCTGGGTTGGGTTGGGTTGGGCTGAGCTGGGTTGAGCTGAGCTGGGTTGAGCTGAGCTGAGTTTGAGCTGAGCTGAGTTTGAGCTGAGCTGAGCTTAAGTTGAGTTTGCGTTGAGTTTGAGTTGAGCCGAGTTGGGTTGAGTTGAGTGTGAGCTGAGTTTGAGTTGGGTTTGAGACGCATTGGGTTTGAGCTGAGTTGAGCTGAGGTGAGTTGAGTTTGAGTTGAGCTGAGTTCGGCTGAGCTGAGTTTGAGTTGAGTTAGAGCTGAGCTGGGTTGGGCTGAGCTGGGTTGGGCTGAGCTGGGTTGAGCTGAGTTTGAGCTGAGTTGAGTTTGAGCTGAGCTTGAGCTGAGCTGAGCTTGAGTTAAGTTGAGTTTGCGTTGAGTTTGAGTTGAGCCGAGTTGGGTTGAGTTGAGTGTGAGCTGAGTTTGAGTTGGGTTTGAGACGCATTGGGTTTGAGTTGAGCTGAGCTGAGGTGAGTTGAGTTTGAGCTGAGCTGAGTTTGAGTTGAGTTTGAGCTGGGTTGGGTTGAGTTGGATTGAGCTGGGTTGGGCTGAGCTGGGTTGAGTTGAGTTTTCAGGTGGCGCACGTGCTGATCGTTGCTCCCTGAGGAGACCATCGGGCGAGGGTGGAGTGGCGGCGGGTGGGAGCGATGGGAGCAGGTAGCACCCGGTGGCAGTAGTCTGAAGGTGACTGGTTGCTGAAGGTGGCCTTGTAATTCTGAACGTGAAGCAGACAGAAGTCAGCGGAAAGACTCCCACTCTTGCCTGGACTGGATAGAGCAAGAGATGACAGGAATCGTACCTGCACGAGTAGAGAGCTTCCCCTGTGCATTTTTTGTCAAGTGTCTTGTGCAAGAACTAATCTAATGTATAGGTAAAATGTAGTGCTTCTGTATATACCTGAAATATTTTTACTATTTTCAAAACAGCTACTTAGCAGTACTTATATTCATGCAATAGGTTGCAACAAAGACCGAAAGGTAGCCATATGATTTTCTTAGACTTAGGAGTAGTGGTAGACTAATATCTCTCATGAACTTGGAAAATAAATTTGGTTTATCTAATTTAGTAAGTTTTTTTTTTTTCAGTAGATATTCTAGAATAAAGACTGGGTATTTTTTGTAAGAGATAGTTGTTATTTGAATGGGAATTCTTCACAGAGGCGCTGTGGTCAGTGTTGTGCAGAAGATTCACATAGACTTTCTTAAACAGAATTCTTCAGAAGGATGGTAACTGTTACCACTGACAAAATTGGATTAAGGATGCTTGTTTAGAGAAAAGCGTTTCAATCTAAAAGTTTTCTGGGTGAAACTGTATAGTAGATGTGTTGTGATTTAATCCCAGCCGGCTGCTAGGACTGCACTGCCACGCACACAGTTCTCCCCCGTCCCCATAGAAGGGCAGGGAGAAGAGGGAGAAAAGGAGGGGAAAGGGAAAGGAAAAAACCTCCTGGGTTGAGATAAAGACAGTTTAATAGAATCATAGAATAGAATCATAGAATTGCCCAGGCCGGAAGGGACCTCCAAAGGCCATCTAGTCCAACCTCCCCGCAGTCAGCAGGGACACCCCCAACTAGACCAGGTTGCCCAGGGCCTCGTTGAGCCTCTCCTTGAATATCTCCAGGGATGGGGCCTCAACCACCTCCCTGGGCAACCTGTTCCAGTGCTCCACCACCCTCACAGTAAAGAACCCCCTTCTAATCTCCAATCTAAATCTGTTCCCCTCCAGCTTGAAGCCATTTCCCCTCGTCCTGTCACTACAGGCCTTTGTAAACAGGTTCTCCCCAGCCTTCCTGTAGGCTCCCTTCAGGTACTGGAAGGCTGCTCTAAGGTCTCCCCGGAGCCTCCTCTTCTCCAGGCTGAACAACCCCAGCTCCCTCAGCCTGTCCTCAAAGCAGAGGTGCTCCATCCCCCTGATCATCTTTGTGGCCCTCCTCTGGACCCTCTCCATCAGGTCCATGTC